GGATTATTGGAGAATATCCAGTGTAATGAATTTCGCATGCCACTAAGTTATTCAAAGATGTATTTCATGAAAGTTGCGTATTTTTGACATTTACCTTCCAGAGTTTGACCATCCTCATAATCCCTACAATGTTCCCTGAAGTGTTTATGTTGCATAGTTAAGGCTTGACAAGAATCCAATGTCAACTTTCCTTTTGGTCCCTCGTTGCTGGACACAGACCTTTCCACCCTGAATGCAGCATCACGTGATGTACCCCAATACGTGCCTGCATAACCCAGTGAAAATGATGGGAAGAAAGCGTGGACAGCGCAAAAAAGCTCTTTGATTCTTCGTGTTGGAGAGCAGCAGTCTTGCAGAGCCTCCTCTTCTTCTAATTGCAACAGGGTTCAAGGTGGAGGGCATATGCGGCTTATGGTCTCTACTGTTCTGACCTTTCAGTTGGGGATTGAGGGTCCAAGGCACTTTCACAATAGAATTGTCAAGCCATCATGACGTCTGTATCATGTTGAATACAGTGCTGGTACAGGCTCCCTACCGGTTAGCAGCTACAGAATTTAAACCCCAAACCCATCGACCCTAAGCCCGAAACGGCGAAACCCTGAACCCTGAAACTCTCAATCCTGAGCCGAGCACCCAGAGAAATCTGGCTTGCTATAGTATAGCTCCAGGTTTGAGGAACATGAGGAACATTCTCGGGATAATGTTATTACGTGAGCACCCATTATCGGAACTATTTCAAGGAACGGCGTCTCGGTTTTACGGTCTAGGTTCAGAGGTTACGCATTCAGACAGCGGTTAGGGTTTATTGGCTCTGGGTTCTGGACTCAGGAGTAGTAGGGTGGCTTAGCCACCAACTGAGACCGCTCTGGCTGTGGAGCTGCGCTCGAATTCGGCTGCTATCTATCATCTTTCCGCGCCCACTGAGGACAGCAAAAAGATGCACAGAGCAAGAAGGCCACAAGTTAAGAGTACGCAGAGCAAACTGAAAAATACCAGGCTTTGGGGCTTAGAAAGTGCAAGAGAGGCCTGATTTTCCAGAAAGTTCCTGATCTTGTCCTACGACCTTGAAATGATATAGCAAAGCATACTTTGCTATACGATGCGCTGCACTACGCTAGCAATAGTCTCTGCCGCAATGGACTACAAAGTGGAATAATCCGCTTAAGACTCCGCTCCTTTGAGAATGTAGTTGGTAGTAAAGTAGTTGTATGCTCGAAACGTTTTTGGCAATGATATTTTGGTAGCACAATGGTATTCACCGCTCCTAAGATCTCTGTCACGGTGGCACATACAAGCTTTTATTGGCAGGTTGAGCCAGCGGTAATTTCCGGACATTAACTGGGACCCCGAAGGTACAGCTCCAATCTTTTGGGGGAAGCCTACACATGTAGACATATGTGCATGCATGCATGAAGACATAAACACAGACAAACAGACATATGTACATGTACATATATGTATATATACGCACATGGGATTCCTTGCTCTTAGACGCTTGAAGTCGCAGCACCTGCAGGGGGGGCCCCCACATGTCGGGAAACTCTCCCATCAACTGCAGGGCTGGCCAGGCAGGCACTGGCAGTTGGCCAAAAATTTGGAAGCCCTCTGGGTTTCTAAAATTCAGGGGTCCCTTTTGAGTTTTTAGGAGTGCCTAGAATAAGGATTACAGTATGTCACTACGTTAGGTGGGCCCCGATTTCTGGAAACATCCTTCTCCCTTTCTTTTGTATGCACTTGCTGCAGTACTGCAAACAAGTGCCCAAGAATTCCAACAAGGCCCTTGTGATAACGCGCCGGTATGCTGAACTTCTGAATCCTGAAGGTCGAAATCCCGCACCCAATAAACCGTAGAGTTTGATCCGTGGAGACTGAACGTGATCCTGGCATCATCCAGCTCAGGAGATTAAAGAAAAAACACCATTCTGTTTGAAGGAGGCCATTAGAACAAGATCATGGGATTGGAAACTGGAAACTTGAACATGGCTTTCAGCAAGCTCAAGTCCATTTTTGTTGAACCCTGAGTTCCCGCACGTCTGCGAGATGTGCCTTAGACTGGACTCTAGAGCCTGAGGTCTTACATTCTAGGCCCCCTTAACCTGAACCTGGTAGACCCTAACTCCTAGACCTCAAACCTTAAATCTGTAACCCTCAACTCCAAGCCTTTAACTTGAAATCATGTTTCATGAAACCGGCCGTTGTCAAATCGGGAAGGCAGAGTCGTTCTCGAAGCTGTCCTCGCAGATGCAAGGGTATCTAGGAGGGGTACATAACGCTATGGAGGACCAAATGAAAAATGCAAGGGCAACTGGATTCACATCTGTGTTTATAAGGAGTGTAATGTAGGGGCCTGTTTACGTGAAGTGGCCAGGGTGTAGGGGTTAGGGTTTAGGAGCTCTGGGTTCCGGAGTGTAAGAAGATCGTTTTCGGATCTAGGAGCCTTGGCTTCAGGATGGAGAGCTCAGGGTTTCGGGGTAGCTCAATTCCACACAGAAGTGCGCATCAGGAATGCGCTAGCGTTTTGCAAGGATTTTGGGGGGTATCGTATGCAACTTCGCTTGCAGTTGATGATCTTGGATTAGCTTCAAGCCTGAGGCCAAAAAAAAAGATCAACCTTCCCTGGGCCCTAAGGGCCAAAGACCCTGAACCCCAAAAACTGTCAAACCTCAAAGACCCCAGACGCCCAAATGTAAGCCCCAAAACTATAGACCTTAAACCTCAGTCAACCCCTGAACCCTAAGCTCCTCGTCTAGCGCCTTGGGCGCAGGGTCGACCGAGTCTGCCTCCTTCGGCTCGGAAAGTATGGGTTTAGGGATTAGGGATGATTTCGAACTTGAATTCTGGAGTCCGGGGTCTAGCGCTCAGGATCTGAGGCTCTCGGGCCTCTAAGACTCCTGCGGCGTTAAGGGTGCAGCGGGGGGAGGCCAGCAACACCCTGGAAGCCGGCGAAGGCCTGATCCAATCCCCAGCACTTGCCCCATACCGTAAGCCTTCACCCCTGGATCGAACCCGAGTCTAAACTCTGATCCCTAATGCCCAATCTCTAATCTTAAAACCTCCAATTCCCATCCCTAAACCCAGAACCGCGGCCTGGGTCGGAGAGTCCGCATACGCTTTGTCATCAGTGCTGCCTCATGTAAAGCTGCGCTGCTGGCATATAAGTCTGCACCTTCTGTATGCACACACAAATAGCCAATGGCATACAATTTGTGTACATAGATCAGAGAACTATATACATACACTGTCATACACTGCCTAGATCCTAAACCCTACGCCCCAAACGCGACAACTCTTCAACCCAAACCCTCAACCCAAAATCTTAAACCCTAAACCGTACCCCTGGCAGTCTAGTTGGGGAACCCTCACGGTGCACCAATCTGGGGAGTGCATGCCAAAAAGGTTCATTAGAATGGAATTCCTGATATTGTTAGAGTCTAGGGTTTGGGGTTTTGGGTGTTGGGGGTGAGGTCTTGGGCCTGAAGGCTATTGCCTAAGAGACCCAAGCCCCATGGCTTGGGAATCTCTTGCAAAAAATAGAAATCTTCCGTGGCTATAGAGGGCTACCTGCTGCTTTACCTCTAGAAAGAGGAGCTGAGCTATGCAAGATGCGTAAACTAATGTAGCGTTCGCAAAAGTGGAGACCCTAAAATGGACCATAGGTTACCATCTGGTCTTCACATGAGTCTACCCACCTCGCATGAGACAGGCTGTAAATCCCAAACTCTGTGGGACACTCAACCCTGTGTTCGATCAATCTGAAGTGCCTGAATCGGAAAACCTAAATAGGATTGAGCCTATGCAAATACATGAAACTGAAGGCATATAACTGTCAACAACTCCTATAACAATTTGAAGAAGCTTTTCGACCCTCTAAGGCCTGATTTCAGGTCCCCGGCCTCTGTTGAAGAGCATTGACATCGGGTTCGGTATCGTCGATTTCATCGTGGCCTAGCGCTGTTGCCCGTGTGACTTACTTGCAGCGTTCCTTTTCTTGTGGCTTGCGTAAATGCAAACAACGTGGCTGCGAGCAAGGAAACTTACCTGAATAGCTCCACTGGCAGAAGAAATGACAGCCACTTTCATCTTCGTGGGAAGAATGGCTCGACATTAACCTGCTACCCTAAACCCTGAACGCCTCAACCCTGATACGCTGAATCTCCAGCAATGAAGCCCAATCAGTCCGAGCTGCAAAATTCGCACTCTTGTTGCTGCGCAGCTTAGTAATACCTTCAGCCAGTGACATCAGCATGTCCTGGAGTTGAAGGCTTTGGGAGGTCATTGTGGGGAGCGAAACACCAAGCCCTAAAATCCTCAATCCTTGGCTGAAAGTGGAGCTTTGCGGTTGAGGGCTAGGGTTAGCAGATTGGCTTTGGGCTTGGTGGTGACCACGGTAGTCGTGCATCACCGGGTTGAGAGTTTTGGATTTGGGGGTTGGGGTTGAAAGGGGGTTTGGGGCTTGGGATGCTAGCAAACAGACCTGATAGCAAGAAGTACAAACATTTAAGGATGAACTTGAAAATTTGAACAAACTTTTGCTAGAATTAGAGCACACACGAGAAACCATCGAGGCCAAGGCATCGGCACTGCCTAAATGCATACAGTGGAATGATACATGTAATACACCTACCAAACCGCACCAAGAAAGTTGTACTGCTAGCATGAACCAACATCAAAGACTGGCGCCATTTCAACACGAGAGAAACCAAAATAGTGGGTAGAAACAGACTAAGTATTAAAAGCTAACATCAAGAAAGCCTGATGCCATGCCACCAACGTCACATCCCATCCATACCCCGCGAGGACCATACAACAACCCCATCACATCATCCCATTCACATCATCCCGTCAATCGAACATCAAGCCATCCTGGACACAACCACCTCTCAGAGGACGATCCACGTGGGAGTGCAATTTAGCCATAACCTCGCGACTCGCGAGAACCATACGAAAACCTCACGTCAGAGATAAGCTCGACCTAACCTCACGACAACCTCAGCAATAACTCACCTCATGCCATCAACCTCACCCAGCACATCAACCCATTCACATCAAACCTTGCGCCATCCTATCAAACAAACATCAAGCCAACCCTATTAGAACCAGCTCCACGGGGAAAAAACCTTATCCCTGCATAATTCCATCAACACTCGATGTAATTACCCCTTGATCTTTCCTGACCGGTTTTGACGTCTACTTCTCTTCTGCCTTAGTACTCCCGCACCTAGGACGACGATGACGACTACGGCAGGTATGGGTACTGCAACTGCTGCTACTTTTACTGCAACTGCAGATACTGCTACTATGACTGCTACGCTAACGGGGACGACCAGTCCTCATGCGCCTCTCCCTGCGCTTGCTGCTGCACACGCTGAAAGCTGAAGGTAACGATTGCAATGAAAAGGTTGAGCATCACCTGAACATCTGAACAGCGCGCCATGATGAAGCGACCATGGTAATGCATACCGTGCTCTGCCATGCTCCGCCCATGTATTCCGGATACTGTACTATACAGTGCCACCTTGGCACGGCACATACGCCAGTAGACCAAGGTACAAGTATCCTCGTGCCATATTCCCAGCAATGTCAAACTACTCGAGCCGACTCGAGCCCAGCCCGCTGGTTCGCAAAGCAGGGTTCTTCGCAGAGCTTGAAGCTAATTATCTATGTTCAAGGGGAGTTGCAGGACACACAGGCACAAAACGCGGACAGTCTAGGCCAGAGGCTGCCAAGTGGGCTCATTGACACAGAAACAACATGCAACAATGGAAGCAAACATCCGGTCTTTTTGAGGTAGTGGGCTTATCAGAAGAACATGCGCATAAGGGATACCCATCCCATGGAACTCTGACGTAGTTCCTGCAAACCTACGCCAGAAAGATTTCATTTTATCAACAAAGCATAGCTTGCTACATCACGGGGCTCAACTACACGAAGCTCTGTAAAACCAGATGCCCAATGCAATAATGAAGTTATTGTGCCAGAAAAGCAGATGCCGGACAATGTTCTGTGATATTCTCCCATGCCTATGCCGAAACTTCCAAGGCAACCGTGAACCTAATGATCGCTGAACCATAGACTGGGCTGAGGCGCGAAGCAAACGAACAAGGTGAACAGCGTGAACCAGGACACGGCACTTACCTTGCCAGCACTCAAAAATCGGGGGTCGAGGGTTCGGTTCAGGTGTTGAGGCTTGGGGCTTACGGCTGAGGGTTTAGGATTGAGCTTAGGTTTCGTGATTTGGGCTCAGAGTTGCAAGGTCAGAGGTTTGGGTTTAGGCATTGGCTACTCCAATTCTCTCGCACCCTGAGCCGGACAACCCTCAGCATGAGAAACAATCCCGCGTCTGTGCAACTCCTGGTTGCATGTAGAGTTCAATTTGTAGGCTGCCTCTGCTGTAAGCCTCATTATGAAAATTTCAATCCCTCACCTTCGCCTCTCTAGGGGCTCAAGTCATGCCAGTGGAGTGCAGGGCTGTGGAATTCGGGCTGAATGCTTCAGGATCTGCATGCGCTGCGGCGCATACAGCGTTAGCCTGTTAGCCTAGAGAACACTAGCCATCCAAAATCTCCAGGCAAGCCAACCTCTTCAATTTTTATGCTTTGTCGAGTTCTTACAAGGCATGGGCCCAGCCTGAACCCTACAGTTCTCAAGGTAGATAACACTACCCCGAAGCTCTAAGCCCCGAACCCCAAGCCCGAAACCTTTAGCACCAAACCCTCAAAGCTTTGACCAAATTTCTGGGACGTCTACCTAAGTCTGCACAATCTTTGCTTTCGGGCCGCAGGGGCGATAGCGTACATCGACATAAAGTCGAAATCGCCCATGAGGACCCTTTCAAGAAGAGCCCCTTGAGATTCGAGTTTAGGGGCCTTCTCATGGTAAAGAAGTTTGGGGCATCAGAGGTGCGTGAGGCAAATTTAGAAATGGGTTTAGAAGTCTATCCGAAATAACGATAGAGATGTGAATGCAACGAAAGAAGCAGCTGGACAAATGTTGGCAGCAGTAGGACTGACATTGCGGCATCAAGATTGCGGCAGCCTTACAAACCCTCGCTCGAGATATACAGGGCATATGAAGCAAGTATGGACAGGTCCATATGGAGGGCTATTTCGGCAACATTTGGGAAATGTCCCTCCCTGGCTCCCCAAGACCTGCCTGAAAGAGGACATGAAGGGCAAGACTGACTGGGACCAAGAATACAGAATGTGGCCAAACAAGAAGTGGGCGCCCATGGCGAAGTTCACGAACCTTGGTCAAGAATCAGGGAAGGCTCAGATTGCAGTTCTGAACATGGGGGAAAGATGAAATCCCTCTGTCCAAGAAATCAAAGAACGCAAAACCCCTGGGATTGGTTTAGGCCCCTCATCATGTTAGCAGGCCTGGGAGTCCTGTTTGGTTTTGTTCCTGGACGCGACGCAACCCTGTCTCAAAAACTGGTTGTTTGTGTGGGCCACCCCACAAGCAGATGATCCTGTGCCTCGTTCGCTCCTGGAAATTGGGGTTACAGCATGTGGCTGAAGCGGGAATGCACAGCGTCTCTCTGACTCACTTGGAGATGACTTGGTTGAACAGAGTTTCCAAACCATCTTGACCACCCCCATGTAGATATGGAAGGAACACGTTTCAGCATCCCGTTAGGTGTAGCTTGCCGCGGAACACCACGAAGAAGAACATGAAGAAGTACATGACATTTCCTCATTGATTATTTAAGGTGTCCTGGGGGTGCACTGGACAGGCTCTAGCACACTAAAACAAACTCTAGGACAAGCGTGTTTCTGGGAGTCTACTGCAGTTGAGGATTTCCAGGAGATCGGGAAGGACATTAACACACACGCACCTACAAAAAACACATACTCAAAGCCGCAGGTTCCCAGGGCATCGTAAAGCGTGTTGATGAACACCATCAGTCTGGGCGAAACTGGAAGACCTTCCAAGGGCATCGTTGCCAATGTCTCTCAGAAAGCTGGGCGCAAGAAATTGCTAACACAACCTCCGAGGGACGCTGAAGAAGCCTTTGATTTACAACAACATTGGAGTTCTCTTCGCAAAGTTCCAGCCTTCACCAAATTTCACCAAGAGCAACAGCATGTACCAGAAGCAAAGCCATTGAGTCGCACGGAACCTTGCCCAGGGTTGCAAAGGTAAGTGCTTCGACTTTGCAGCTGCCAAGCGCGTGACTCAAAGAAAATGGAAGGCGTGCAGAGTCCCGGCACTCTATTCGGATACAGGGGGAGCGCAAGAGGAATCTGCCGATACCTTTTCAGGACCTTATAAATACTACAGTAATTTTGAGAAGCTCCAATAGGGGCAAAGCGATTCAAATCTCATTGTCCAGTCGTGCTTAGGTTTGAACTGGTGCGAACCCCAACTTCGAGGACCTTCCCCAGCGTTTCGGGTTAGTTTCCTACCAAACGTCCTACACCTTGCAGCCGCCTGTCACTGGCTGGACGGCACTTGTAAGATTTCCGTCATTTCGCCCAGCAACAAACCAAGCTAAAGCACGCAGCATGATCTCAGAGACCCCTTCTATCATGTCCTTGAGGAATCCCCACGTGATCCATAGACGGATGCTGCAATTCGCCGCAAAAATGTGCGGATTTTATCAGGGTTGCGGCTATGGGTTCTGAAGACTTGCATTCAAATCCTGAGAGACAGAGCAGTGGGCCCATACCTGAGCCAAACTGCGGCGCAAGGCCTGCGTCTATGTCACAGGGTTTTTTGTTCATCGCTGTCATGATCCCAAACCCTGGGATCAAAAGCCTGTACCCTCGACCTAAGTTACTGATCTGCACTCTTAAGTCCACTCTTCTACACCAGCTCAGTGGGTTCCCTTGCAATTCTTAACACCAGAGCTGAGCCACAGAACAACTCGGACCCAAAAAAGCAGCTATGATTCTCGTCCTTTCCCCCAAGAAGTGTTTCGAGGAGTGTCTGCTTAGCAGCATTGCTGCAGCATCCACAGTAAGGCTGTAGACGTCGTTCATGACCTGGATAGAATGAGAAAAATTGAGGATAGTATGGGGAGCACGTAATGTGGGCCTTTCTCAAGGAGTTTCCGGTCCGGGGGGGGGGGGGGGGGGGGNNGTTGCAGGTATTGTATAGCAACTATCCATACCGATATACGGTTTAGGGGCGAAGCCTCACAGTTTTGATTTAAATGATTTTGCGCGGGATATGACAGAACCGACTTGCCACCTAGAGCACCGATAGCATGCGTAGGGCTTCATACGCGTGATGAGTGCAGATATACTTCTGCAACTTACATGGGCCTTCCACCACGGCAATGAGAAAGGCAAGCTGCTGCAAGAAATTGCCATGTTGTCTTGACGTCTCAACTACAAATCCTTGAGAAACAACAACTGCATTTGAGGTCTCTGCAAAATTCGTATGAGATGCCCTAGAGGCTGAACTATAATCTCTAAACCCTAAACTAAGAAGCATTAGAGGGTCCTCCCTTTTCGCGGCCTCAAAGCGCTGCGCTGCAGAGCTTGTCAGGTTCCCAGGCGGTCTCTCCGCAGAATCCTTGGTTTAGGGTGCAAGGCCATATAACGCTTTTAGCTTAATTGTTTGCTTATTTTTCGTTGGCCCAAATGCAAACAGAATGCCATATTGGCAGGGCCAGCACCCGAAAGACCTCCTTACAAAAGACACCCCCAGCTCCAATAGCACTTACGGCCATCACCTGGGTTAAAGGTTGAGGATCAAAGGCTTGGGCGTCGGTTGAGGCTTTCGGATGCAAGGTTAGGAATAAACCGTTCGGAAATGCAATGAGGGTTTAGGGATGAGGTCCAAGGATTTCATCAGGATTCAAAAGTTTGGGGTTTGGGCCACCGCAGAGATCAGACTGGTTCAGGTCAAGGGTTCAGGTCAAGGGCTAGGTTGCAGCGCCAACGGCTTCAGGGAGACCCCACCTGAAGCGACAGCTCGAAACCTCGGAGACCTTGGAGCTAAAGCTCTTGTGCTACAATCGCTGCCAGCAAAAATGCAAACGTAAAAACCTGAATAGCTAGGAATGTGTTATGAGCGCCTAGAACACTCTAAGTACTTGCGGTTGCACTTCAGAAAATACTGCTGGCACCGCTACACACTCCAGTACGTGGGTTCTATCTATGGGAATAACTCTGACACTATCCCGAAAGAGGACCCCACAACCCCCCGTTGACCCCTACACGTTCCTAGGATCTCCAGGGCCTCTTTTCAGAAGTCACACATCCCGGAAATCTCCAGAACATCTCGGAGCATCTATGGGGATTGCGGCAAACTCGCGGAGCTTGTCCGTGATGCCGTCTACAGAAGCTCCCAGAACGCCATAAAAGGCCAGGTACCCCACCTGGCTTACAGTTTAAGCGCTCAGGGTGAAGAGGTAGGTTCCGGAAAGGGCTCCTGGTTTAGAGTCTGCGTAAATATCTCGAGAACTAGTGTGTAATCTAGCCTGAAAAAGCAGAGGTAATGACTACTAACTCGAAGCTCTCCAAGCTCTAAGAGCATGTTACATTCAAATCTGTTCTTACAGGGGAATATTCATATTATGGTTTAGCATAGCACCTTGAAGTATACTGCAGCCTTCTGCTGCATATAGACACCAACCATCCAACCCGGACACCAGCAATACCAACAGGTATACCTTGCCCAAACTAGCAGAAGACTCTACAGAAACTACTTGCCGTCTGGATTACTGTCCAGCATTTGGTGCGGAATGGTATATACTCTCACCACAGTTTCGGTTTGGTTTTAGGGACTTCGAGGGCCTAAAAAGACATGACATGCTTTTAAGGAAATGTTGGTAAACGTGGGGTTTTGGCACCTCCGCTGAATCCACTGTAAATTACAATACTTCGGTGTGTTTCAGGATTAAGAATGCTCGTCTTCGGAGGGGCTGAATTCTATGTCATTTTGGCAAGTTGAAGACATAGCGTTCCTTTATTCTTCTCACTTGCTGAAGTTCTTGAGGTGGACGCCGGGTTGCTCTGGTTATCGGGTGCTCTCGAAATACGAACGTTATTAGGGTTTGGGCATGCGTGCTGTGATTATCGTATGCTCTCGGAATACGCACGTTATTGTGGGTTGGCTTGGACTAATGGAGCGTAGCGTGGACTGATAGGAATTACCCGTGGACGAATACGAACGATCCTTGGAGTAATGAAGCGATGATAAAATCAAATTAGAACTCCTCACACCCTTTGGACTAATGGGGCGTAGTTTGGACTAATGTGAACGATCCTTCGATTGATCCGACTGATACGTCCTCATGGGGCAATGATAGAAATCAATCAGCAACCCTCACACCCTTGGACTGATGGGGCGTAGCTTGGACTAATGGGAATGATCCTTGAACTAGTAGGAATGATCCTTGGACTATCCATGCGGTAGCAGAAACTCCCGTTCTTTGTAAAGGTGTTGATTCCAGGGAGGACAAAACTGGTAGCAATGGCCGCCTACCCCTAGACTCCCTCGACCCTAAACTGTGTCTCCTTCAGTTGAGGCAAGCCGCGCCCCCCACGAAGCTTCCCAAGCTCGCCAGCCGATAGACGTTGACCACGAAGGGCTGTAACTGCTGGTTCTTCACCTGAGTTTGTTTAGGTTTAAGGTTCACTGGTTTTAGCGTTTGGCGCTGAAGGTTTGGACAAACCCTCAGAGTGCAAAGTCGGCTCATTGAGCATCCCCCATAGGCCTTGCGAAAATTCACGATCGGCCGGCTTGATCTTTACCGTCTCCGTATGAGATGCTGAGAGCCCATACTATACTCCGAACCTGCATCTCCAGCCCTAAACCATGAACCCCAGAGTGGCAGCCATTATCCTGAAACCATCATCAAGCTTCAACCCCACAACACGAATCCAAAGCCCCCAACCTTGAACCATAAAGCCCCTAAATCCCCAAACCCAGCAACCAGAAGTGATAGGCCAGGCACGGCCCGGTGCCACATGAGCACCTCCACCACCGCCTAAGGCTTGAAACGTGGTCTAGAGCAAAAGTGTCCATAGGAGCAGTTTCCGCGTCATTTTCCGCGTGATTGTTCAATTTGATTTTCCACGATTTGAAATATTCATGGGGCCAGTTTAGGTTTTGGAAGGACGTACAATGAGAGTTTGGGGAAGGGCTTGGTTTCAGTGAACACAACCTTGGGCTTAGGGTTGGAGAGATGCTGGTTTCAGCTGCAAGCTTTAAGCTAGAGGATTGCTCCACTACTGCCCGCTGACTACTTATTATCGCCACCAATGTGTCGACATCTTGTTGTGTTGGGCTTCGCTGCGACACATCGACGTGGCGACTTGGCGCGCTTCGCAAATGCATTTCGTGTGGGTGCACACACAGCCTGAGGTGAATGGACGTTACCTTATTTTGCAAGGGGGCTATTGAAGGGATATCTTCCGTAGTATCTAGACCCATACTACATTACCAGCACAGCATGTCGAAGCTGCCGACGGAACACCACTACCAATACACGGCCATGCGCGTGCATTAACCACCTCCTACTCCTGGCATGATGCAAAACAACCCGCCAAATCAAAATAAGATCCACAAGTCATATTTGGTGGGGCCGGCTTGGGCTGGGTCTTTCTTACAGGAGATCATTCTGCTGATCCTGGAATGTGGAAACCGCATGCAGGACCCCAAATCTATGGAAACGCCCATGTAAAGTACCAAAAAAAGGCGCTTGCCTGGACATTCAAAATAAGCCGGTTTATGAAACATCGTCGAACGTTGCTGCTACTACACCCACTACTACGGCTGCTGGGATAAATAGTCATTTCTATCAGTCTTGGTAGCTTGTGTCACCACACCTGCAACCCTAACATTACCGATGATAAGCAAGAGGTGGATCCCTTCATGGATCCTAAATAAGCCGCAACCATATAATCACCTCCCTCAGTCTTGTCCATTCCCCTCCTCCAAAATCTCATTTTGCATGTCATGCTCCGATTGATGTTCCAACAAATTCTCCATCAGTCTAGCATAATCTTCACGTTTGAAATACTATTCATATGCAGGCAAGCAACACAGGCAGCGAGGCCTAAAGCAGCTGCTACATCTGCGCCTCGTGGTTGCTCCACGTGGGATGAAAAGAGATGATGTGAATTACAAGGAGTGTAGCTAAAGCATTCTGCAGAAAAGCTTCCCAGTTGCAGTTCCCCAATTGCATAAAACCAAGATAGCTACAACTACTCATACTACATTACATAAGGAAACACTATCCCATCCTTGTCACATTTGCGAACAGCTGCAACTGGCAGAGGGCCCTGCCCGAAAAAAGGGTTTGGGTTTTAGGTCACCATGCTTGCCATGCTTGCCTAATGATTCTGTTGGGAGCACAAGCAGGAGGATCCTTGGATCCTGCTTGGTGTCCTCACGGTAAGCAAGGAAAGCTGTCATAGGGGCCTTATAGGCTTTGAACTTCCGTAGCCCAAAAGACCTCATGCAATCAGCTTAAAACGGAAGAACCTCGAAGAGGGAGAAAAAATCCTCTACAGCTTAGAACACCCTACAAACACCATAAAGACTCCCTAGGGAGTGGCCTCGGTCCCACTAAGAGTGACCACTATAGATGGTTGTGTCATACTCAAATATATTCCTCCATGCCGGACTTTGGTAACCTTTCACGAAGCCCCTCCTGCGCTGGTCATGACGAAGTTGGGACTTGAGCTGTAAACAGTCCTGAGTTGCACGTGGGCGACCCAGAACCCTGACACAGACGCGATGTGGAGGTTTGGATTTAGGACTTGGGTGGAACGGGTCGGACTCAGGCCAAGAAGACTGAAAACTCAAATGTGCACTTTGGAGGATTGGACGTTCCTGCTTTTCTTCTTTGGGCTGCTTCTGCCCGATGGTGAGTTCCAGGAGCCTCTGCACTGTTTTCTTAACTGGCTAGGCTTGATCAATCATGAAACGTACACTGTAAGTCCTACAATGCATGAGCAAATGGCAGCTATGTTGTGGGCTCTGGGCTTTTCAGATGGCAGCAGGCTGCCTAGTAGGCGACACTTGCCCTCTTTGCATCCCGACACAAATTATGAAGACTGGCATTTGTCATTCTGCTCTGTGTCAGCATCGAATCCAGCCAAAGGTGCGATGGTAGCATCATCAGAGTACTTCTTCGACGCAGGTACCTGTGGCAGATTTGGATGTCGTTTTAGGGTTTAGGTTGGGGCTCTTGAGAGTTCGTCCTAGTTCCCCAATCCTAAAAGCCTCCAAGCCCTAAACCGTGAACCCCAGTTTCTTAAATCCTAAACCCTCAATCCTTCAACCCCACATGCCTAACTTTGCAACCAGGTAGCCCACTGTCTTGCAGGCTGAAGTCCAGCGTCAGGATCATGAAGTGCTCACTCCGCTGGTTGTAGAAAAACGCTTTGAAATCCAGGGACTTAGCTGGAAAGGTTGAGGAGGTGTCTGGGGTTAGGGACTCTTGTGAAGCTTTTGGATTTAGGGTTTGGGAATGAGGGTCCTGGCTTTAGTTTTTGTGTATGGGAGTCTGAGGTATCCAGGTTCCATGGCTCAGAGGATGAACCTGTTTCAGGTCCTCCGCATCCTAGCGAATTCAAGCACATGGTGGAACAACAGGGACCTGCTCATGGAACCTGCCTGTACAAAAGGCCACACTGTTTCTGGCAGCATGAAGAGTGCCTTGTAGCATTATTCCTCTCCCTGATGATTTTTCACGTGATGAACCCTCACCTCAAGCCCTTAAGCCAAAAGCCCTCAGCCTTGAATAAGCAAGAGGGTCCATCCCTTGGGAAGCTCGAGTGAATCAGGCCGTGCTTTGCTGCAGAATATGTTTAGCCTCGAGGGATCTAAAGAGTTCTGTAGTCCAGGAGGCTTGATGGTGTTATGCGTTCAGGATTTGAAGGTTCGAAGTAGAATGGAATAGTGCTATGTCTCGTTATCTCATAGCATGCTCTTGCCTCAAGCATTGCAGCCTAGCCACGTTGGTCCCATCCGAAAGCCAGCCAGTTTGCTGAAGATGGTCTAGGTGGGCAATGACCGAGCTCAAATTATGCGAGATGTCGAGCCAGTGAGAGTCCTCTGCGAAGAGCTTAGAGCTTCGCGTTCTGTTCATGAGGTTGAGAATTTGGAGTCTAAAGGCTTGGATTTCAGCGTTCGGGTACGGTGGTACATGATACTTGGATTGTGGCGCATGCAAGGGGCTTTAAAAAGTGACTCCCGCATCCATGATATACATTTTCAGGATGTATCTTCTCATGCACATCAGAGCTGAATTCTACTTGGAAACGTGCTTGTTCTGCCGATCTTGTCTAAACTGCAAGTGGGGAGCTGGCCCTGATTTACACGCAAACTTCGAGCTTCCGATGATCGGGATCCGAATCCAAGGAACCCGTAGCCTTATGAGGACATGGTCATATGAGAAGAGGGACTTGAGAGCGACATCTCACGGCTGCTTAGAGTGTAGGAAGAAGTTAAGCTAATCTTGACTCGGCAACTCCCCAAGAAACACCTCCCCAAAAAGGGCAGTACTTACTTGTCGTTTCCTCCATCGCATGACGGACAGGACCATCAAGCTTGGGCAGGCTTCAATCAATGGCCTCAAAGCCTAAGCACCAAAAAACAAAGCCCGAAGACTCAGACCCAAACCCAATTGAGTAAAACCGCTCTGTTTTTTTTAAAAAAAAAAATAATGAAGCTCAAAAGGCAGCCCCGACATATTGAGGGGTGCTAAAACATGGAATCTGAAGAGGCAACTCCTGCAAAACCTTCAAGTCCAAAACCTTGAGGGCCGGGCTTAAACCATGTGTCCCAAACGTTAAGCCTGTGACCCTCCTGGCCTGCTGACCGTCACTCTGCGCCCCTGCAAGGCTGGCACGGATCGAATCAAAGGTGGCATCTGCATGCGTAGGGTAGGAGGACGAAGAGTAGTAGCGGCAGTAGAAGTAGGAGCAGAAATAAGAAGTAGAAACGAAAAATCCAAATCGCAGTAGCAGCAGTGGCGGCAGTGGCAGTACAGCGACTGGGATAGTTTCAGGCATCCTTCTCGTTCTCGTAACTGTAGCCAAGCACATAAGTCCCTTTAGCTCAAGATGGACGCTGCCATGCACAATTATCACCTCTATGTTCACAAAGACAAACATTGCCATCATAGTACCTACATCCAAATGCAGGGAAGTATGGACGAGGTTTTAACTGAATGAGAAGACAAATGTAGCTACCAGAATATGCCAGACGACAACAGTTGCCAAGTGGCGCAATGATCTGGAGGACTAAACGCTAAAACTCTGAACCTCAACCCGAAAACTTCAGGATACAGGATTACTGAAGCACTCTAACCCGTCAAAGCTAAATCCATAAGCCCCAACCGAAAAGCCCGAACATTCTCTAGCCCTGCGTGCCTAGACCTCAAAGCTAAACGTAGACCCCCACAACAACAAGCAGCCAAAGGTCCAATGGAGCAAGACTCGTTGTAGATGATGTCCATCCAGGGCTGTGCTGAACTCTCTGCCTTGCTCCAGGGGCTTTTGGGCTTCAGGTTCAGGGTTCTTGCTGTTCCTGGAGCGAAGGTTGTCCCAATTTGATGCTTGTGGAAGGGGATTGTAAATGTATGTAAACTTCCGGGTACTATGCTCCTACTTCACCCCCGCGATTTACCCAAATAATCTGCCACAGTCTATTGGTCGCGAATTGTAGTTCACAACAACAAAGCAATCCTCCTGCGGATACTTCTGTCAAAATGGGGAACACCACTAGCGTGATTGGTGCCGTCGCCTCAGCATACTGTTGAATTTGAACGACAGATTGTAGACGCCTTCGCAGAAACTAAACAGGGACTGAAGAACTGACAAGCCCATCAAACCTGAAGTCCTAAATCCAGGCTGGCTCTACATCTTACCAACATTTCCACAACTACCACACTACTTCAGCTCCTCGAAATGCTTGCCAAACGTTTGAAGTGAGTGCTCATTATCCTATTTCCTCTCGCCATGCACCAGCAATACAATGACGGGTCCTCAAAAATGCCACCTAAGCCCTAAACCAGAACCCAACAACAGTGGAAGATTCTCATGATTGGGGCAACTGTGTGTAGCTGGCCGTCATTAGGACTCTACTGTTGCAGGGCTGCCAAGGGAACCCTGCTACGCAGAAACCCCCAAGGTGGAGCAAGCCTCCGCGCATCGCGGGGGTGCGCTCCTTTGCCGTGAGAGACGAACCTTCGGTGTGAAAGCAGATTGCTGGAGGGGGAAAAAGTTTTGGGGCCAGTGCTCTCAAAGGATTACACGAGGCTAATGTTGGTAGTCATTTAAGCATCTTCACCGCAAGACTTCGCCAAACCAACATGGAAGCCCACACAAGCCTTTGTCTAGAAGGACTGCAGAGCTTGATTACAGCGCTGCTTTGAAATTCACTGGGTATGGCTGTGTACTGACTATGTCGTCAGGTAAAAAACATAATGCTATGGCCGACACTTGCAACTTGAAGTCTGACATGGCATGATGCATCCATGCTTTACGACAGCAGCATAACATACTCTGCGACAAATCGCAGCACATTCCAGATCACATACGATAGACCCGATTTTGCCGCAACAAGCAGCTGAATAGGGCAGGACCATCGGACATCTTCGAACCATGAATTTGGGTAGCTGAAGCAAGCACTCTGCTATGCACTACTGCACTACTATACTCTAGGACAGTTCCAGTTGCTGCTAATCTGCTGAAAACTGTCTTGTGTAAAGGCCAGGTGTTCCATGGCATCATCTGGTTGTAAATCCAAACCCCCGATCCCTAAAGCCTGTTCCCAAATTGCAGGTCACGGTCACTCCACCCACAAGGCGGATGCGGTTGGCAAGGTAGCCGCGACCCCTTGGGCCTTGCAATCATGTCTCAAAAAAAGTGGGCTTTTCGGGCTCACAGCATGAGGCTTAGGGTTTAGGGCTTAGCGATGATAACAGAGGTGTGTATTGTGTCGGGGGCTTATACGGTTTGGGGCCTAATGCTAAGCACTGTAGCATAAAGTGAACAACGGATTGCACAAAGTCGATCCATGTCTGCTACATGAACACAAGCTCTCTCGTTTTTTGTGCCTGGCCTACTGGTCTCCCGAAGCATGCTGCAAAATAGGACGGCAGGATTCAAGGGCTTGCTATGAAGATCCACATGCTCTGTCTCTTCTAGATGTGATCTAGAAAGTTGACGCAGAGTCCACATGAACAAACCTGTGCATCGGTCATGGCTTGCCAATCTTGCCCAGACATACCGCGTACCTAGTTGTTTACAGAAAACAGGGGTCGGCCCAACGCAGCAAAGCCTGGTGATGCTTCATGCGACGTGGGCTTGCAGTACTGCAGCATCCTACTAAGGTCGAAAGATCACAGAAATCTTCACACCTCACCATGTTTCCTGCACCCCTGAAGAAGTTGATGGAGATGAAATATCACCAGTGAGAAGGTGAGTTAAGGTGATGCTGAGAAAAATCTCTGGTTCAGGCGGACGCAGTTAGGCTGACCGTTCCAGGTGCGCAACCCGAACCACAGAACTCAAGCCAAATAATGGTATCACCTAAGGCCCTTGGGAAGTTTTCTGAGTGTGTAGGGCTTAGGAAGCCAACACCTTTAAGCTAAATCTTTCAGCTTAGGGTCTAGGCTGTAGGGTTCCAGGCACCAAACCTAAACGGACGCTGCGCCTTCTTGCCAAAGCATGGGCATATATCCCTCGCGAAGCCAATCATATGCTTCCTCAAAGTCCTGCCGCACATTGTAAGGTCTGGGGTTTAGGTTTAGCTTTTAGGGTTGCGTGTGTATGTGTGTTCGCATCTGTCAAGTTCAGGTTTCAGGTTGTGCTGCAGAGCTGAGGGTTTGATTTGGGGTTTGGGGCATTATGTGTTCTAGATCATGACGAGACTATTGGACATGTTAGCTGTCCAGAAAAAAGATTAGCAGAAGGCAGCTGCAATGCATCAACTACACTCTACAGTCTGCAATGATGGGGTTATCCTCGTTTCATACTCGAATCTGAAACCCCGCCCTGTCAGACGAAGCTGATTTCATTCTGCATCTGAGGCCGTGAGCATGTGGTTGAAAAAATTTGCCTGACCCTCCAAACCTAGACGCATGGCAGATTCCTTCAATAAAGACATCTTCTTTGAGCCTTGACTCTCAAACACTCTGTTGAGGCCAGCCTGGCCACAGGAGACCTTGAAAATGAAAGAAATCCAGCATTGCGTGAACACAGCAGAGGTCTACATCACTTGCTTAGGAGGATTTATAATGCTATCAATACTTTCGAGCTGCAATATCCGCACGATAGAGGAACGTGATTAAATGCTCTCTCCGCAGCCTTTCAGAATAGTGAACTGTTCTTCAGTCTCCTGCAAGACGCTTTCGTCGGGGCTGTCATCTCCAGACCTGATTGCTTTGCCCCCCCTCTGGAGGACATTGTCATCGAAATTCCTGCCGGAAGCACGGAAGTCTCAGCGTCTACGTTTTAGAGTTCAGAGCTCAGGGCTGAGGGTCTAGTTTAGAGTCATTGCCTCCGAGTCAGTAACTAGATTTCATTTCCCATCAAGACAGAGAAGGCAAGACTGTGCTCCCATGCCTGAATGAATGCAAACATGCTGAGGAGTAAAGGAATGAATTGCAAGGATTCTCCCAGGGATTACGAGGAATAGCGCGGGCTTGTTTATTACTTTTCCATGCAGTACGACAGTAGAGAGCCTGGCTGACCAACTAGAAAGAAGATATCAAAAATGCGAGCAGTTAGAGCACTGAAATCCCTACAGGACTTCAATCATCGAGACCCCAAGACCAAATGCCGGAACCCAAAACCCAATCTGGAATCAAAGCCTGAACTTTCACTAAGTCACTAAACGCCTCGCTCTCCTCCAAACTCACATGGAACCGGCAAAGGTTCTGGGAAGACAACTCATTCACAAGGGTCTGGAAGTGCAAACTCCAATCATGTCCATATTCCCAATAACCCAGTTTGGAGGAGTCATGAGAAGCTGAACTTGGCAGGCCTGAAGGTAGCCCGAACCTCCCAGGACACGAAGGAATTCTGGTGCACAGCTTGCGAATACCTGGGCTCGTTTGCTGTTTGAGGTTTTCAGTTCAAGGTCGCTTGGTGTAACTTCTTCGGGCTTAGAGTTTCAGGTCTGAAGCTTTGTTGAAGGTCAAAGTCTACGGGCCAAAGTCTACGTTGTAGGGTTGGACATGTCTACAGACGCTGCGTATCAGGTGCCGCGTCAATAGCTGCAGCCAGCTATGAGCATCACTTCAGGCACCTGGTACACTGGGAAGTCAATCCAGACAACTCCCGAAGGTATCCCAGGCATATCCGAAGGATGAACCTTGCATTTTCGAAATTCCTCCGAGACTCTCTCAGAAAGTCCTGCAGTCAACTATTCATTGATGCAACCCTACCCTGAGCAAATACCCCTGGGTTCACAGCCAGCAGCCGAAGCACACAAACAGCATCCAGTAGATCAGAGTGACCACGAGACCTTAACGCTGGCAACGATGTGTCTCTGAGCATCCAGGCATATTGAATTCAAACCATAATTTCAGTAAATGCGGGATCCAAATATAGGACATAAAATACTATGACATTATAGGGACCCCCGCAAAACAAAAAAGGCACCCCCAATTTTGGGAAACCCCCAAGCGGAAGAGGTTTACACCCAACAAGCCATTGCTGGCTCAGGAGTTCAAATCTTACGCAGCCACCTTGGCGGCACCCCACACCTTGCGGAAATGGTCCTTTCAAAACCCTGAGATTACATATATAGATATATGTAAGACTGTAAAACTCTAAGGGGTCCCTGGTAGAGATAATCCAAACACCTGTGACAACACTTTGAGAATCAACCACATGAGATGAGGGATTCCTTGCTGGATCTGGCTCTCTCCAACATGACTCGAGTCTCACTGGATTGCGCGTTTGGGCTGCAGCAACCACCTCCCCCGAGGAGTAACATGGAAAACCCCCTGCCAACCCCCCATGCGGAGGTAAACAGTTCCACCAGAATACATTATCTATATGTTAGCTCTCACAGGGCCTGTTCCAATATGAAACGGCAAGGGAGTTTGGGGGTTTGGGGGATCTACTTGGGGTTTCAGGTGTTTCAAATNNAGGCAACATACATAACAAAGTACCTTGCCTATTGTCAAGATTGCTAGCCCCACACTGTTTGACACCCCAAGAGATCAAGGCCAGTACCTATGCAACTCAAGCAAGCTCAGCCCTTTGTAAGCCTCATTAGCCTTGCAAACCCTAAACCAGCCCGATGAAAGCCCTGAGCTTAGAGCTGGCACAGAGAAGGGGTCTTGGCATGTGAGAAGCAGCCTCATTGCCCAGGAAGCCGTGGACCTTCAAGCAGCCAGGTCCATGTCTACAGGTTGTTGGAGGAAACCGAGCAGTACAGGTGATGATGATAAAGGTACTGCTAGTTGCTGGTGGTGACAGTGGTGGCCGGCTGTCGGAGGTGATGGTGGCTAGTGGCAGTGGCTGGCGGCTATCACTAGCTTCAGCAGCTGCATAGAGGTGCCGCAAGGGCCAAAAAAAAAGCAGAAGCCTCAGCACGGCTTTCCGGCAAAACAAGCGTCTTATCATCAATTATCAGAGCCACTGCGTCAGCATTGCTTCAGGCTCCCAACAGAGGAAGACATGCAAAATCAATCTTGTCCAGACCACACATGCAGGCTGATTCTGTTACAAGAAGCTACTCCTGAAGCAGACCAAATGAGAGCACTGAACAGAATCAGCAATCGGACTGAGGGTTATGCCTCCGATTTGCGGATCCTGTTGCTCTCATGACCTGTTCGGGTTGCAGGGATCAGAGTTGCTCACCCCCACAAACAGTGTTCCTGGTTCTGCTTCAAGGGGACTGCTCTCATGCCTGCATAGTTGCGCAGTCTCCTGGA